GATGTTTCTCTCTCATCGATGTTTCTAACTCTCTATCTCCCTTCCTTCCTCTCTGTAAAAAATCAACTAAATAAAATTTTTTAAAAAAATTGCTTAAAAAAATAAATTATGTGAAAACAAAGACATGAGACTTGAAAAGAAGTTGCTTTTAGGATGACGGTGCTCTCTGTACCTTTGTGCACCAAATCCTTCGTCCAGCAGATCGTGATGAAGGGCGCACACAGTGTGTCCACCAGACGCTGGAGATGGTGATGAGCAGAATGGAGCAGTCCCTGCCTTCACACATTGTATGGCTAGTGCTGGAGAAAACCTTAATTAAATTAATGCATTAGATATATATTGAATGCCTCGTGTGTCTGACACGATTCGCTATAAGCCCTGCAATAATAAAATTAGATAAAACCCTCTCAATCTCGGATTTTACATTTGACTAGGAGACGTTAGACCGTAAACAGGTAAATAAAATGGGTGCTCCATTAGAGATGCTGGTAGGTGGATGCAGGACACTTTGGCAGTGGTAGGGATGCTGTAGTGTCGATATTTTGCCTAAATTTTTACATTATTGTATCTTCCTGTGAAGCCTACTCCCAACCCCTTAAATTTTTGTCATCACTTGAAATGTATCCTTTGTACTACCACCCAAAAGGGATCGTTTAATAAAAACATTTTTTCATGCTAAAAACTGTTATGTGTTCCTCATCACTTAGACTAGAGCAGTGGTCGGCAAACTGCAGCTGGTGAGCCACATGCGGCTCTGTGGCCCCTTGAGTGTGGCTCTTCTACAAAATACCACGTGCGGGCGCGCATGTACAGTGCGATTGAAACTTCGTGGCCCATGCGCAGAAGTCGGTATTTTGTGGAAGAGCCACACTCAAGGGACCAAAGAGCCGCATGTGGCTCGCTGGACTAGAGGATCAACTTAATATAAGACACTTCTTGACCCTACCTGCCTCTCCAATTTAGTCATCCAGTAATCCCTGTCTTACTTAAGGTTCTAGAACAGGGAATGGCAAACCATGGCTTTGTTCCAACAAATTCTTATTTACGAATCCAGAAATTTGAATTTCATATATGCTATGAAGTATTTTTCTTCTCTTTTATGAACAATTTGAAAACGTACAAACCATCCTTACCTTGCCGGCCATAGAAAACAGGCATAGGCTAGATAGGGCCATGAGCCATAGTTTGCCAATCCTTTCTCTAAATTATGGAATGACGTTTAGTCCTCTGCATCCCACCCATCCCTATGTTTCATTACTGTGTTGTTGCAGTGCCTCTGCCTCGCTAACTCCTGTACCTTCCTCACAAATCATGAGAGGGGCATAGGAAGAGTGTGTTTATGTGTGGAGGGGGAGTAGGAGTTTACAAATCAAGAATCAGCTCTGAAGTCCTCTCCAAGAATCTTCCTCTTAATTTTACTTTTCCCTGCTACCCACACCCAATCCTCATTCTCCTATATCCTCAAAGCAACTTTTCTTGTATTTAGTACATCGTATTTCAGTTTTCTTAGATTCTAGTCTCATTTGAAAAACGTAAGTATTTCTGGGCAGGAGCTGCCATGTCTTACTCATCTTCACATTCACAGGACCTCGCACAGTGCCTGACACTAACTAGTAGGTGGGTGGTCAGTAATTGTTGGACCGAACAACCTAACCTGAACCAAGGTAGTGGTAATGGGTATGGAGGGTGGGGATTAGGCTACAGAAACAGAAGAACCTAGTAACTGCTTATGTAGGGGACTGGGCAAAAGGGAAGGGAAGATTCCATGACTCCATGTCTGGCTTGGGCAGACATGGAGTGGGGCAAATGGAAAGATGAATCTGGAACTTACATGAGAGATCTTGGCTGGACACATGGTGTTTTATTTCATCAGCCTATAGGGTTAGGAGGAACTTTTTTTTCCAGTATGATATCTTAATCTTCACAATTACCTGTAAACAACTAACAGCATTTTACAAGTGAGCAAACTCAGGAGCTATAAGATGGACCAGAAATTTGAAACCAGGTTTTTTTGTCTTTAAGCCATGTCCCCCCCCCCCCCCCGCCCCCCCCCAACCCTCTTTATTTATTTTTAGAGAGAGAGAAGGGAGAAGGGATACAGAGAGAAAAACATTGATGAGAGTGAAACATCGTCAGTTGTCTGCCTCCTGCACGCCCTCTACTGGGGATGGAGCTCACAGCTCCCGCATGTGTCCTGACCAGGAATGGAACCAGAGGCCTATTAGTTCCTGGGTGGATGCTCAAATGCTGAGCCACACAGGCCAGGGCAGCCAAGTCCTTTTTACAATACCATGCCACTGCCTTTCCAGAGAGTTAGATTCTTAGTGATACTAACTGCTGGACAGAAGTCAAGTAAAATGATATTAAAAGTGTCCTTAGTGTTGGGAAACTAAAAGATCACTTCCCCTCTAGGAGGGGGCACTGGAGGAAAACTGCATTTTATTGAGATGTGCTGTGGGGGGCTTGGAGATGGAGTATGGATCAGACTTTCAAGAAATATAGCCAAGGCAGAGACTAGAGAGCAGGAGGGAGGCAAAGTAAAAGTTCCAGAGAACATTCGCTTAACAATTTAGGAGAAAGGATTGAAATTATTAGAAAACACCAAGATATTTAAAAAATTTTGTGTTCATTGTGTTCTGTATTTCTTAGTATTGAGTGCTATGCTTTAACAAGTTTTAGATTATTCAAGATTTTAGATTAATATCTGCTTAGATATCTCAGGCCACCAGAATCTCCTTGTAACATTTAGTTCTTACTTCCTTTTAGACTTTGATTAATTACTATTGTCAAGAGAGGTATTTCCATCACGTGTTGCTTGTTGCCAGTGAAGGAATTAAGAAGTATGGTAATGACCCCGTCTTCAGATTTTATCATGCCTATGGTACATTAATGGAAGGTATGTGCAAATTAGTAACCGTGCTGCATTGAATTCTTGTTTTGCACTAAGAATAATTTTTCACATCATAATTTTGACTTTCAGGTAAAACTCAAGAAGCTCTTCGAGAATTTGAGACTCTTAAAAATAAACCAGATGTATCACTTTGTTCTCTGCTTGCACTGATATACGCCCATAAAATGAGTCCTAATCCAGGTATAGTAGGACAATTTTTCCTACTCAATTTATTTTGTTTTTTCTCAATTACCATAGCATTTAGTCTGATCATACTGTATTACATATTATCTATAGGTACTTTTTATATCATGTATGTTTTATCATCCCGACAAGATTGTAAGTTCATCAAGCAGAAGAAATACGTATCTTACATTGCTTTCATATTCCTTATATCCTTTGGAAGAATTTTCATTTGTACATAGGAGTTGTTTGAATTAACGTAAAGGTGAACATATATTAGCAGTTGTTAAGCAAACAAACAAAAAGAATAGCCCCAAAAAGATATGTACATAAATTGCTCTGCAACAGCCAACTTTATAACCAGTTATGTTCAAATATATAGCTTTATACAGTGTATTTCTTCTGCTCTATCTTAAGCTTCTTAAAGGCTTTTATGTCCCCAAGAGGGCTAATCCTTGGAAGATATTCAGTAAATTTTTATTAAGTAATAGTTTGGAAAATATTATAGAAAAACTTTATGCAAAACCAGCAATTCAAATTGTGTGAACTGTCTTTATATATTTATTTATTTAATATTATACATATAAGTTGTGATCCATAACATCTTATATGATCTAGTTGAAAAAAGAAAATGTAAAAACCACCAATATTAAGGGCAGGGGGTTAATGGGGGGAGAAAGGGGACATATGTAATACTTTCAACGATAAAGATTTTTTTTAAAACACCAAGATTAAATTCTAATGTTGCTATTAAATAAAATGATAAATGAAACAAATTAACCCCGAATTAATGGAAAATAGTATGTACTATTAATCCATAGGAGTAGCCTGGGAAAGCTTCGTGAAAGATAGGAACTTAATCTGATCTTTGAAAGACAGGCAGGATTTCAGGATAAAGCATATTTGTCAGACAGGAGAAATCCATGGGCAAACACATGGAATTGGTTCAGGATTCAACTCTTCTGTGGAGCCCCTTTCTCTGTGCCCCAGCAGGAGTTTTAAGCTGCAGCAGAGAAGTTTCACAGGAGAGCTGTAGTCAATAAGCCTTTAAAAAAATTAGTACAAAATATTTTCTTCCTAGAATAAAGTTTCATTTAATTGATTATTCCCAACAGTATTGATTCTGTTGGGAAGTGTGATTTTCAGGACACTAAAAAGATGGAGGCAGAAATATTGCCGAGGGACACTGGAGTACTGACTCTACTTTTCACCATATGTGATGCTGAGTAGGCGTGAGCCCAGGAGGGGCCCAGAGGTTTGTCAGTAGAGCCTAGAAAAGGCCTGGATTGTTCCTGTACATTCTTCCTGAGTTCTGACGTAAGTCCTGAATATAAAAGGGCTGTGAAGCAATAAGAACTTGAGCTGCGATGTGGCAAGAGCTAACTTTGTGCAGATGGTGTCCCAGCTAACTGATGCCTCGTTAGGGACCTGATGGGAATCTGGGCAGAAGACGACAGCTCCTGCTCCTGCCAGATGAGTTCTTTTCTGCCTCTGTATCGTGGTTCTTTAACAAACGTTTCTGAAGGGAGGTGGGCGGCAGGCAGAAGGAGTCTTCTGGCCAAGCAAGCTGTAGCCCACCGAAAATGATTGTATTTCCGAAAGTCATGAAGTGGGACCTTGGTGATTCCACACTTCAATTTAAATTTCTGTCATTGGAGCTAAAAGGAAGGGTCACTTATCTTCCCTTGGAAGCCATTTTCAGAAAGGTAGAGGCTGTTAGAATCACCGCCCTCAACTTGGATGTTTCCTTCTACCTTATTGTATAACTGCTCCTGCTCTGCTTTGATCCAGGATTTGGATCTAATTGACATTTGTGTCCTAAGCACATACTCACATATGATAGGTTTGATAGTAATGATTAGAGTTGTTAGGAGTAGACTATCTAAATATTTAAGGGAGCAGTCAGGCAGTTATTAACCTATGTAAGGAATAACGATTATACTACCTTTCACTTGCCTGTGACAGTAACCCCCCATGTTGATATATTTTAGAAATGGATTAGGGAATTGGGTAATTTAAATACAAGTCCTGGTTTGCCTCTAATACTTACATCATTTTAGAATCATTGCTAATTTTTCAAGTCTTATTTTAAAAGTTGCATTTATAGCCTTTATATCTTGGGGATGACATAAAATTTAGAACTGTACATTACAGTGATCATTAACCACATGCAGCTATTGAGCACTTAGGCTTAGTTTGAGGAACCAAATTTTTAATTGAGTTCTAATTATTTTTACATTTTAAACTTGATTCAGCTATTAGAAGTTATGTTTAGAACAATGAGTAAATGAATATACTTTTTCATAAATTTTATGAAATCAAAGTACAAATTAAGTATTTCTGGATAAAATTTAGCAGCTTAATGAGAGATGTGTATAAAGTATATACCACCTTTTAAAGATTTAGTAAGAAGAAAACAAAGAATCTCAAAGGTTTTCTTATCAAATTATAGGTGAAATAATTTGGATATACTGGACAAACTACTTTTACTTGTTTCTTTTTGCCTCGTTAATGTGGCTACTAGAAAATTTTAAGTTACATATGTGGCCTGCATTTTATTTCTATTTGACAGTTCTGCTATAGAGAGAAGAACTTAATTCTCTCCCCTGTTAATCATCTGACCTATTATAAATACTTGGTCTAGAATTTAACTTTCATTTATGTCTTCTTTTTCCATTCCAGATAGAGAAGCTATTCTGGAATCAGATGCCAAAGTGAAGGAGCTGCGTAAAGGAGCAGAACCGAGAGCTTTGTACCACGCAGGCTTATTTTTATGGCACCTTGGTCGTCACGAGAAAGCGAGAGAGTACATTGACAGAATGATCAAAATGTCAGATGGTAGTAAAGAGGTAGCTGGTTTTCTTATTGTGAAATAGTGACATTAAAGGAAATATGTTGTTTATATATTCAGTGGTAACTGCTGTTTAATTCTTTGTTATTGCTTACTCTATTCTCACTTTATAAATAATAGCTTTATTTTAATATTTATTATTTTGTAAAGTTGTGGTTCTCAAAGGTGGTTTATTTTTATGCTGTTTATTAATTCTTGAAATGATCTCTCCCTGGTTCCCTTCCTTTCTTCCTACCCCTTCCTTCCTTATTCCTTTCCTTCCTTCCCTCCCACTCTCCTTATTGAACTTCTGTAGGTACAAGGCACCATTGTTTGCACTGTTAATAATACAAAGACAAGGAATGAATAAGCTTTACTGTCCTGAATGGATCATGTAGCAGTTGTCAGAGGTCATATACCCAGCCAATATGTTGAGAGAGGTGTGATTAAAGAGTGCAGGAAAATAATAGTTGACATTCATTGCTTGCTTGCTTTGTGCTAGGCACTATTTTAGGTACTTGAGGAAAGATAACATCTTTAAGTATTAGAATGAGAAAGAATTTCTTGAAGTAGCATTTGAACTAAAACCTGAAAGATGGATAATTTCCATAGGCAAAGATTATGGAAAAGGGAAGTAGATACTCCCAAGGTGGGAAGTAATAGATGGAAATGAGAAAAACAAGGAGACATATCGGTTCTGGGTACAGTGAGACTCTTCATATTTGATGGGAACATGGGGTACATAGATGAAGAGGATGGAAGAAAAATGTGGAGATGTGGGTTGGGGCAAATTGAAGAATCTCGACAGTGAGATACAGTATTTGTATCTAATTCGATAGGCATTGAAAGACCATCAAAGGTTCTTAATCACTGCAGCGATGTTATTAGAGTACAGATTCAGAAGATTAGTTTAACATGCTGTATAGGGTGGACTGACCTGGGGGGAAACTAGAATGCAGCCAAAAGGATACTGCTTTCTGGCCGAAGACTTTGAGGGCTGATACTAAAATACTGTAGAGGGGGTACAAAGTTGAGAATTATTAAATATCCACAAGGCTTGTCAACTGATTGTAAATAAGAGGGGAAGATACTGAGGATATCTCTAAGGTTTTAAGCCTGGACAATTCAGAGACCAGTTAACATAAATGGAAACTACGTTGAATTAAGAAGGTAATCTTAAAGAGAGATGTGTTTAGCTGAAGACATGCTATATTCCAGGCTCTGGAGAACAGTGGAATAGAGATAGTACATGAGCTGTAGGAAAAAGAAAATATTAAAAGAGGTACTGGGCTACAAGTAAAGCTTGGGAATTATCCACCCAGAGATAGTAGTTGAAACAATTCAAATAAGCACACTGATCAAGTGAGTAGAAATAGCACTGTTTGAGTAGTATTAGCTGTCTTTTCAGGTGAAATACAGAGCTAAATATAATCTCAGTTAAAGATTTATAAGTTTATGAAGTAACCTATAATTTTTTGTGTTAATCCTCACCCGAGGATATTTTTCCATTGATTTTTAGAAAGAGTGGAAGGATGGGTAGGGGGAAAGAGAGGAGGAGAGAGAGAGACAGAGACAGAGAAAAACACCTATGTGAGAGAGACATTGGTTGGTTATCTCATTCATGTGCCCTGACCACAGCCAGGGATCGAACCTGCAACCCAGATACATGCCCTTGACCGGGAATTCAACCTGAGAACCTTCGGTGCAGGGGCTGATGCTCTAACCCAGTGGTGGGGAACATCCAGCTCTTGGGCCGTATATGACCTGCAAAATCACTTGGCCTGGCCCTGCCAAGGCATTAGGAGTGAGTTAATTAAATCTTTGGCCAAATATAGAGGGCCAATTTTTAAGTTGGTAACTTTGTATGTCCCGATAATGATACTATAAATATTCAAATGACCCTTGGCAGAGAAAGCGTTTGCTACCCCAGCTCTAACCTAACCATTTAGCCACACCAGCCATGGACTATACATCTGATAGAAGAGCAGATTTCATAATTTTTGTTTGAAATTAAAAAGAAAAATATTCGACCTCTGTCCATCTTCTTTTCAACACTGTAAATCTTGCAACCCATTGGCTTACTAACATTTCTGAAGGTAAACATCCATGACTTCTTCAGTTTGTAATTTCTTGGGCCATATATGCTTGCATTTGAAACTCACTGGACTAGTCACATATTAAAGAAAACATTGCCACATTATCTTAATTTTTAATGTATGTGAAGCCTGTTTTTCCATCTTAGTTCATTTAGTCTTATTGCTCAAAAAGAGGTCACAAATTCTTATTTATGTCTCAAATTACATATTTAACTATTATTAATAACAATTTGCTGGCAAAGTCCCAGATAAGAATATTGATTATTTAGCATTAATGGACTTTTTGATAAGCTTCTTCATATTAATATTGAGCAGAGTAGTAAGGCTGAAATTCTTAATACTTTCCCATACTCTAGGCTGGCAACAGTTGGAAAGCATTTTTACTGCACAGATTTATTGTTCATAATATTATTTAATAGAGTGATTTTTGTTATTAATTACCAAAAAGAAAAGACATTAGGTTTACTTCTTTTACCCATTTTTCCCCCCAAAAAATGGAAATATGATTAGAATTTTTCATTTTACAGGGACAGATCTTGAGAGCATGGCTTGATATTACAAGAGGAAAAGAACCTTATACTAAAAGAGCACTAAGATCTTTTGAAGAGGGATTACAAAATGGAAATGATATTTTTGCTCTGCTGGGTAAGGTGAGTTGGAGTTAGGTAAACAAATCATGTTTTAAAATTTATTCATAATATAGTTGAAACCCAACAAAACTAAGTGGATCAAAAATAATTTTCATGTTACTTTTATCAACTCTCAATTGTAGGAGGGACTTATGTTTATATGGGAAAATGAGCAGTAAACTAGAGAAATGTATTCCCTGCCAAATTCTTCAATCCTAGGTCAGTTTTAATTGTTTTTGTTATTGGTGTTGGTGGTTCCTATGTTATTTATTCACCAAACATCTACACCCTGTCTAATATATGTGAGATATCACTCTAGATATTGGGGTACCCGGGACACTTCAGTTGCAGGCCGACACTCTGTCCACTGAGCCAAACCGGTCTGGGCAGATTCCATTCATTTTTATGGCCAAGTAATATTCCATTGTATGTATAAACCACAACTTTTTTAGCCACTTGTTTATTGATGGGCACTTGGATTACTTCAATATCTTGGCTATAGATAAGTAACTCTGCAGTGAACATACAGGTGCATATATTCCTTTGAATTATAGTCAAACCTTAGTTCTCGACTATCTCCCGTTTTTCCACAATTTGGATCTAGACCCAACAACTTTTTCATGCTGATTCTTATAGAATTAGTCAGGCATCTTTCAGGTGACAAACAAAGGAGAGAATGTGTGAGTATGAGTCAGTTTACCACTATACCTCGTGTTGTTAACATCTCAGGAAATTATGCTGTGAATATTTCTAATGGGGAAAAAATGATTCAGTTTTCAACCAAATTGCTTCTCAAACAGCCTTCCGGAACAAATTAAGTTCTAGAACCCAGGGTCCATTGTAGTGTTTTGGGTTTTTTCAGATATATATCCGGAAATGAAATTGCTGCCTCATAAGGCAGTTCCATATTTAATTTTTTGAGAAACTTCCATACGATTTTCCACAATGGTTGCACCAATCTGCATTCCCACCAACAGTGCAAGAGGGTTCGCTTTTCTCCACATCCTCCCCAACACTTGTCTGTTGATTTATTGATGATAACCATTCTGACAGGTGTGAGGTGATATCTCATTGTAATTTTAATTATTTGCATTTCTCTTATGATTAGTAAAGTTGAGCGTCTTTTCATCTGTCTATTGGCCATCTCTTTGTCCTCTTTGGAAAAGTGTCTACGTATGTAGGTCCTTTGCCCATTTTTTTATTGGTTTGCTTTTTTGGTGTTTAGTTGTATGGGTTCTTTATAAATTTTGGACATTTTACAGGTTGTCTTTTCAGTAGGTTGTCTTTTCATTTTGTTGATGATTTTCTTTGCTGTTATTTTGCTTATTCTTTAAAATCTTATCTTCTTTATCTTGAAAATATTTTTTTTAAAGGTACAAAATCTCTTAGTTTTAGTTGCTGCCTGTGAATACACAGGAAATATTTTATCCTAAAAGGAAACATTATTTTACGGTGTTTCTAAAAACATTTTTAACATTAATTGTATTTCTCAAGTATTTAAAAGTGGAATTTAAAACGTTTATTGTTCTGTGATGTTTTAAACTTTTGTTTTGATAAAAACTATTTTTTTTCTTATTATAAAAGTGATCACTTCCTTACGAAAAGGTCAGAGAACAAAAATATAAAAAATGCTAAACACTAGTTTTCTCTCAACTTCAGGATAACTTAGTATATATGATCAGAACCTTAGTATATATGATCACAGTTTTGATGCCACTTCCTTTTCCTCCCATTAGGTACAATGCCTTGAGATGCGCCAGAATTATTTAGGTGCTTTGGAGACTGTAAACCAAATAATTGTGAACTTTCCAAGTTTCCTCCCTGCTTTAGTACAGAAAATGAAACTACAACTGGCCTTGCAAGATTGGGACCAGGCGATTGAGATTGTGCAGAGGTAAAGTACAAAAAGGTGACACCCAAACCTTTGGATCTGGTTTTAATTTTGAGAAAAAATAAAATCTGTACATAATTTTTTATCATAGGATTTTTAAAATTTGATTTTTCCAAAAATACGGAATTGAAAAGTTTAATATTGCATTGTTTAAAACGGAATTGATTGGTTTACATACATATCTGACTAGCTGTTCTAAGGCAGACTTTTTTTTTGCAAACAAATACCCCTGTCTTCATGAAGCTTATATTCAAATGAGAGGAACCATATGATAAACAGAACAAATAAGAAATTATGTAGTATGTTCAAAAGTTGTAATGCTATGGGGAAAAGATAAAGCCACAGCTGGAAAGTGAAATGGGCAGTGGGGGTGAGGGAGTGGATTTTATGGGAATGGTCAGGGAAGGCCTCACTGAGAAGATGGCATTTAAGCAAAGAAAATAAGCAATGCAGATATCCGGGAAAAACTTTGCAGAAAGGAAAAGCAAGTGTGAACACCTTGAGGCCAGAGTATGTGTCCTTTGTTTAAGGAATGGGAAGGAGTAGAATGACTAGGAGTGAAGTCCCAGCAGAAAGGTGGGAGGGCGCAGGGTGCCAGGTTGCGAATATATGTAAGTTTATTTCAACAAAATGTTTTTCTGCAGGTTAATGCTTCAAGACAAACAAAATGTAGAAGCACTAAGAATGCTGGCTCTTTACTATTTGTGTAGGGAAGGGGATATAGAGAAGGTAAGTTGCATTGTGCTAATTAAGTTTCCTGTATTAATAATACAGGAAGTACTCTTTTAGAATGTATGTCATGGTAGTTTTTAGTTGATTCTTGAAAATACACTTTAACAAAGAGGTGAGCTTCTTAATTCAACCAGTAAAGTAAAAACATTATGTAGTCAATAGTACCCTTGAAAATTCCTTTGATCATTAATTACGGTATATATTGTTTTTCTATATAAAACTCCCATGCAGTAATATGTTTGATTAATGTAACTGGTAATACTGGGTATGGAAGAGTACATAGAAAAAATATAATTTATAATATTTTTAAATTTTATTTAAGTTTGGATAGGTTACATGGGCTTAGGATAAAATCCCATTGGACCTTACAGTAAGGTAACATGTTTCTCTAGTAGTGAGCATATTGACTATATACTAGATTACAGAATGTCATCATCCAGTCTTAAGTAAATAGTATATAAAAAGTAGTAGATTTGGATTGTGTTGAGTTTGGTTAAATTAGTTAATATGACAATGCCTAATAGGTACTTTAGTAAATATTAAAAGAATTTTAGTAGAGGCAACTATTCAGTAAATATTCCGGGCATTGAAATTATTTATAGTAAGTATCTTAGTGATTTTTCTATTCTAGATCATTTTAAATATAAACCAAGCTATATATGTAATCCAAGGGCTGATCTTATATAACATTAGTGTTTGTAAATATGTTGTTATTCATATTTCATTTGTGTCATGGATTCATTATTTTAGAGGGAGCTTGTCATGTACAGTTAATTGAATATTATAGGTATCTTTATCTACCCAAAGGTTCCTATTCAGTAACAAATATTAAAAAAATACATTCTAAAACTCTGTTCTTTATTGATAATTAATTATTGAGCTTTTTAAAAGAAGTTTTTTTAAAAAATATATATTTTATTGATTTTTTACAGAGAGGAAGGGAGAGGGATAGAGAGTTAGAAACATCCACGAGAGAGAAACATGGATCAGCTGCCTCCTTCACACCCCCTACTGGGGATGTGCCTGCAACCAAGGTACATGCCCTTGACCGGAATCGAACCTGGGACTCTTCAGTCTTCAGTCCACAGGCCGACGCTCTGAGCCAAACTGGTCAGGGCTAAACGAAGTTTTAATACATCTTGCAACATATAAGATTTTATTGGAAGAGGGAGGAATTAGTAAAAGCAAATATCTTTTTAAACAATAATAGTATTTATTAGTCTATATGTCATATATTATGTTCTTTATTTCTTAGTTTATTTTAAAATTATACTGGGTACTTTTGTTTTAGGCTGCAACCACACTGGAAAACTTGGAAAATGCATTGGATGCTATGGAACCACAGAATGCTCAACTTTTTTATAAGATTACCATTGCCTTCAGCAGAACTGTAAGAGGGTCCACTATGTACCATAGCTCTGTTATCTACAGCTGGAAATAGAAAATAAGTCACCAAGGCTGAGGCACCAAAGAGCATATGGCCTAGAGTGAAAATATGATATGTATATAAATATGTGGTATATCCTAAGAAGGGCAGTCTAGAGGAGATATGGGTTCCAACTGTAAAAAGCCATCATGGAGGCTTCATGGAGCAAGTGGCATTTTTTGAACCTTTAAAGAGAGGGAAGTGCCTTCCAGGCAAAGGAAATAAGTGCACAGGATTTATGAGTAGGAATGTTCTTTGTTTTGTATTTTTAAAATATTTGAAAAACGTTTTAATGTGTGTAATAGACTATTTTGGTAGGGGAAATGGCTGGTATCTTACTTTTATAATATTAAAGAAATGTTCGCATTACAAGTACACAATTTTAAAAAGGTAATCAGGAATGGATTAAAAAAATCAGCAGAATCTTGAAATCAATACCTGAAATGAGTGGATTAAAAAGTTAATTAAGGTACGAAAAAGGCACACATGAGTAAGTAAAATAATTAGTAAATATAAAGTTGAAAGAAAAAATCAAGGGTGTTGTTAAGTGACATAAATAAACTGAATTTTCTCATTTACAAACAAAGATTGTCAGATTGTGTGAAGTTTAGAGAAAAACAAATTCTGCTATTACAAAGTTTAAGTTAAGGAGGGTATATTTATCCTTTTTATTTGCCTGTTGCCAGATACCTGATTAGTTTACAAAAATTCAAACAGTTTAGTATTATACTCATAACAGTTGTTGCCTTCAAGTGTTACATACTTACTCTAGCAACATTGCCATTTCTTGAAATATTTGTGAAGCTTTTTAAAATGAAGATTCTAAGGCATAATCTTTTAAAATAGTCTCAGTGGTGCCACCCTTGTCTTTAGGGGGAAAGCCCTACATTTTTTTTCCATTAAAAATATATATGCAAACTTAAAGCAATAACTTTATTGTCTACTTTGTAAAACAACCATACCACAGTTTGAAAAGACGTCTAGAATATGTTTGTATGGCAGCATCATTAGGAGTTTACTTTTCAAGGTAGTTGTTTTTAAAAACACTACTAAGGATATATAAGTTCTCAGAGGATATAAACTCTTTCTTGCTGTTCTGCCTAGATAGTAAATAGAGAAGTTTTATTTTTCTTGGTTATTAAATCATTGTTTCTTTGCATTTTGCTTCTGCAAAATCTAACATATATGTATGTTTAGAAAAACAATCCTTTTGACTGAATAGAAGTGTTCTAGTCCAACTAAATCTTTTTCTTTTTAGTGTGGACGTAATCAACTCATTCTTGAAAAAGTTCAAACATTACTAGAAAGAGCTTTCAGCTTAACCCCTCAGCAATCAGAATATGCTACAGAACTTGGATACCTAATGCTTTTACAAGAAAAAGTTAAGGAAGCATGGAAGTGGTATCAGATTGCCATAAATCTTGAAGAAACTAGTATCACTGCAGTGATTGGTATGACCACTATTTCTATAAATGTTCTTCATAGAGATGCATTTTCATACCTGCCATTAAAAATGTTTTGTGATTTTCTAAAATTAAACAATTCTCCACTATCCCCAACAGAAAAAAAATCATATATCTTTAAAAATAAATTTTTTATTTCATAATTAATATGTTGAGAGAGTAGGTTTTTATGGGATAGTTACTATACTAGTATATTATGAGTTCCATCATAACAGATTTTATGTGAGTACCAAGCCACCCATTTTCTTTCACCTTTTCTTTTTTTTTTTAATATAAAATTTTCATGTATTATTGGTGGGGAAATCCATGTTTTATTAATGTTGTTGGTGTTAGCTTAAAGTTTGCATGCCTTAAACCAGATATGCAAACTTTGTTTCTGTTCTGTTTGGTTTTAGGATGTATCCGATGTCAATTAATAGAAGGGCAATTACAGGAAGCAGATCAGCAGCTAGAATTCCTTAGTGAAATTCAGCAGTCTTTTGGAAAATATGCGGTACAGTATTTTATTTTATTAGATATTAGGTCCCAGCTACTATTTATAAAATATGAAATTTTAAATTGTCTTATTTAGTATTAGCTTTAAAGGAGTAATATACACCAATTTTAATATGTAACTTCATTTATTAATTTAACTCCATGAAAAATTAGACTTTAAATATTCTCCCATAAGATTCTAAAAATCTAAGCTAAAACTTAAGTATGAATAAATATTTAACATCAAGACACTTCCTATACATTTGAAATCTAAATAGAAAGAAATGCCTTTATAACTGAATGGAGTAATTTATAAAAACTACTGATTTTTCAGGAATTAACTTATTTACAAGCAATTCTTGCTATAAAGAAAAATAAACGACAAGAAGAAGTTATTAACTTGTTAAATGATGCCTTGGACACTCATTTTTCACAATTACAAGATTTACCTTTTGGCATACAGTATTTTGAGAAGTTAAATTCTGATTTCTTGCTAGAAATCATTACAGAATATCTGAATTACTGTCCATTGCAAGTAAGTAATTTGGGGACTTTGGGGGGGATAGAGGGTGACTATTAAATTTATTGTGATCACATTGGTTAATAAAGTTATCTAGGTTTCAGGTGTACAATTGACACATCATCTGCATATTGTATTGTATGTTCACTGCCCAAAGTCAAGTCTCCTGTCATGTTGAGCCCCCCTTACCCCTCTTCTGCCTCCCTCAACCCCCTTTCCGTCTGGTAATCACAATACCAATGTCTGTGTCTATGAGTTTTGTGTGTGTGTTTTTTCCTTAATCCCTCATCTATTTCACCTGGCACTCTAATACCGCCTCTGGAAGCTGTCAGTTTGTTCTCTGTATCTGTGAGTCCGTATCTGTATCTGTGAGTCTGTATAAGTGAAATCATATGGTATTTGTCTTTCCCTGACTGGCTTATTCCAGGTCCATCCAGGGGTAAGATTTCCTTCTCTTTTTTATGACTGAATAGTATTCCATTGTGTAACTGTAACACAGCTTTTTTTACCTACTATCTACTGATGGGCAATTGGGCTCCTTGCAAATCTTGGCTATTGTAAATAGTGCTGCAATGAACATAGGGAGCATATGTTCTTTCAAATCAAGAGTTTTGAGTTCTGATATAGTCTCAGAAGTATATTCACTGGGTCATAAGGCAGTTCCATTTTTAATTTTTTGAGGAAACTCCGTACTGTTTTCCATAGTGGCTGCACCAGTCTGCATTTCCACCAGTAGTGCACTAGGGTTCCCTTTTCTCCACATCCTTGCCAACACTTGTTGTTGATTTACTAATGATAGCCATTCTTTCAGGTATCAGGTGATATCTCATTGTGGTTTTAATTTGTATATCCATAATTATTAGTGATATTGAACATCTGTTCATATGTCTATTGGCTATCTGTATGACCTCTTGAGAGAATTGTCTGTTCAGGTCTCTGCCCATACTACCTGACATCAGACTATACTACAAGGCCATAGTAATCAAAACAGCAGAGTTCTGGCATAAAAACAGCCATATAGATCAATGGAACAGAACAGAGAGCCTAAAAATAAACCCACACCTATATGGTCATTAATATTTGACAAAGGAGGCAAGAATATACAATGAGAGAAACACCATCTATTCAATAAATAGTATTGGGAAAATTGGACAGATATGTGAAAAAAAATAAAACGACCACCTTTTTACACCATATACAAGCATAAACTCATAATGGATGCAAGACTTAAATGTAAGGCTTGAAACTAAAAATCCTAGAAGAAAACAAGCAGTAAAATGTCAACCATTTCCTGTAGCAATATCTTTTCTGATATATCTCCTCGTGCTTATTGAAGATGTTTACTCATTGTATATTCTTGCTCCTTTGTTGTAAATTTAATTGATTATATATGTGTGGGTTTATTTCTAGGCTCTTTATTCTGTTCCATTGGCCTATGTATCTCTTTTTGTGCCAGTATCATACATGTTTTTATCATAACAGCTTTGTAGTATAGTTTGAAATAAGGGAGAATGAGGTTTCCAACTTCCATTTCATTTACTTCTGCTGTGGTCTTTATTATTTTTTCTTCCTTCTACTAACTTTGGGCTGTTCTCTCCAGTTTTTCTCTTATAATTCATTTTTATTTTTATTCTGTTGTGGTTGGAAAAGTTACCTGACATGATTTCAGTGTTCTTAAGCTTTGTGACCTAATATGTGTTCTATCGTGGAGAATGTTCATGTGCACTTAAAAAGAATACACATTCTGTCTAGCCAATTTGGCTCAGTGGATAGAGCATCAGCCAGCAGAATGAAGGATCCCACGTTTGATTCTGGTCAAGGGCATGTACTTCGGGTTCAGGCTTGATCCCAGGCCTTGGTCAGGCTTTAAGTGGGAGACAACTAATTGATGTGTCTCTCTCACATCGATGTTTCTCTCTATATGTCTCTCCTCCCTTTCTCTCTCTCTCTCTCTCTCTCTCTCTCAAAAGAAAAAAAAGAATGCAATATTCTACTGTTTGGGGATAGAATGTTTTGTGCACACCTATTAAGTCCGTCTAGTCTGTCACCTAAGGCCAATATTTCCTTTTCTATTTTTTTTAATATATTTTATTGATTTGTTACAGAGAGGAAGGGAGAGGGATAGAGAGGTAGAAACATCAATGAGAGAGAAACATCCATCAGTTGCCTCCTGCACACCTCCCACTGGGGATGTGCCCGCAACCAAGGTACATGCCCTTGACCGGAATTGAACTGGGACCTTTCAGTCTGCAGGCCGATGCTTTATCCCCTGAGCCAAACCGGTTAGGGCCTTTCCTTTTCGATTTTATCTAAATGATCTATCCATTGATGGAAGTGGGCTTAAGTCCCCTATTACTATTAAGAACCACCTTTACTATATATTTGCCTTTACTTGTGAGATTTTTTATGTGTGTGTATGCATTTTTGGCTTTTTCTTTTCCATTTTAAGAGTTCCCTTTAACATTTCTTGTAATGCCAGTTTAGTGGTAATAAACTCCTTTAGCTTTTGCTTGTCTGGAAATTCTTTAGCTCTTCCGCAATTCTGAATGATAACCTTGCCGGGGTAGAGTATTCTTGGTTGTAGGTTTTCCCTTTCATCGTATTAATGTATCCCGCTACTCCCTTTTGGCCTGCAGAGTTTCTGTTGAAAAATCAGCTGATAGTCTTATGGGTATTCCCTTGTACATAACTAGTTGTTTTCTCTTGCTGTTTTAAGATTCTCTCTTTAACTTTCAACATTTTAATTATGATGTGTTTTGGTGCGGATCTCTTTGAATTCATCACTGTGCTTCTTGGAATTGGATGTCTATTTCCTTCACCAGGTTAGGGAATTTTTCAGCCATTATTTCTTCAAATAGGTTTTCTGTCCCTTTCTCTCTCTTTTCCTTCTGGAACTCCTATGTTAGGAATGTTAGTATACTTGATGTTGTCCCAGAGGTCTCTTATGCTTTATGCTATCCTCATTCTTTTAACTTTTTAAAATATCTTCCAGTTGGGTGATTTTCACTACCCTGTCTTTCGGATTGCTGATCTATCCTTCTTTGTCATCTAATCTGTTGTTTCCTCTAGTGTATTTTTTTATTTATATATTAAATAAATAATATATATTTTATTTATATTATTCAGTTTTTATTGGTTCTTTTTTACAGTTTTATATCTTTATAGAAGTTCTCCACTTGTCTGCAGAGTTTGATGAGCATTTTTATGACTCTTTATTTAGTAGACAGTTTGCTTTTGTTTTGTTCTTTTTCTGTTTTTTTTTTGTTTGTTTGTTTATTTGTTTGTAACATATTCTTTTGTCTCTTCAGTTTGCCTGTTTGTTTCTTATGTATTTGGTAGACCAGCTACATCCCCTGGTTTTGTAAAAGTGGCCTTATTTAGAAGGTGTTCTGTGGGGCCTAGTGGTGGAATGCCCCTTAGTCACTAGAACCAGATGCTCCAGAGGTGTTCCCTGTCTGGACTACTGTGGCTTCTTGTTGTGGTTGGGCTACAGCTGCTAAGGACACACTGGCAGGTGAGACTGGCCTCTGGCCCAGCTGGCTGTGAGGCCCAGCCTCAGCTGTTGCAGGCACACTGCTGTGTGCTGGTGCCAACTGAGGCTGCCCACTGGGTGTGGCAGAGTAAGAGCCGCATTGGAGGGATGCCAGTGGTGGGTCCTTAGATAAATGCCAGGGTGGAATGAAATGTTAACAAGGTTAATAGAGAATGTCAGAAATGGTGCCTGCCAGTGTCAGACCAGCTAGATGAAAGGAAAATATGAAAGGGGGAAAAATTGTGCCCACCATGTTCTGTCCCTGGAAAAAGTTCCAACAGCTCTGTCTGTTCAGCACACACCTTAAAATTAGTCAGTATATCACCTTCTTGTATGACACAGATGCTTTTCAGACTGTTCTCTCTTCACTTGGACTCGGAAAGTATGCCACCTTAGTTTCCTACAGCCCTTTGGCTTTCCCAAATGTAAGCCCTGTTGATTTTTAAAGCCAGATATTATGGGGGCTCCTCTTCTTGGTGCAGGTGCCCAGGCTGGGGCTCAGACCCCTTGTTCTTCAGAGGGATATCTCTCCAACTCGTTGGTCACTGCATAGGGTGTAGGGGGTAGAGTGGATCCTGACTAGGTTGAGTCTCTCTGCCCCCTCCTACCTGTCTCAGTGTGGCTTTTTCTTTATATCTGTAGTTGTAGAAAATCTGTTCTGCTAGTCTGTAGGTTGTTTTCAGAGATAGCTGTTCTATACATAGTTGATATCAATGAGAGGAGGTGAGCTTAGGATCTTCCTACTCCACCATCTTGAACCCGAAGCTGGGAACCTTGGTTTGAATGCCAATTAAGCCTGTCCTCGAAATGTTGTTCCTCGCAGTTGGTGCTAGTCATTTATTTTTTTTATGACAAGTTTGAGAACCCTAGTTGTGAGTTAGAGGATTCCTTTATTTTGTCAGTGCCTCTCATTATGCCCACTATTCCACATATGGATTTGGACTGCAAGACCTAGATTAGATCCTTTTCCTCCCAATTCTGGATTTCCACCCAGGTTTCTTTTTGTGAATCATGTAACAGTCATTAGCTCCTCTACTCACTGTAACTTTGGACCCCAGTATAGGACTCTACATTTATCCCTATGAAATTTTATCTCCATGATTCATTCCATAATTCAAGATGACATAGCCTTCTAGATCCTGAGTATCATCTATTTTGTATGGATCTTATTGTCACCCATCATCTGCCTTAAATAGCTCTGAGTAGAACTGAGGATGGAACCCTCTGACTTATTACCAGAGAGTTTATTACAAATTAGCATGGATCCATTACTCACGCTTATTTGTTATAGACAGTAAGTGGATGGATGGCTTACTTATACTCAACTCACAAAGCAACACAGGGATGTCATGATGGGCACTATCTTCATTGCTAAAAGCGTAGTTCTTAGCATTTTCCCTGATCTACAGGGAAACCCTGGTTGTTTAACAAGGAAATGAGAATAATGAATTTTCCTTGGGGAACCCATGCTGCTTTTTATTGATTGTCACTTCCTTTTCCACACTTTCATAATCTATTTTTTTAAGTATCCCCTCTAGAATCACACATGGGATTGATCTCATCTCCCCAGTCATGATCTTAGAAGTCTAATGCACTTCTCAATACTCATGCAATATTCAGAATTCATTCAACAAATGCTTGCAGGGCATCCAGCACTCTGTTCAGAGCTAGGGAAATAGTGGTTTAAAAGCAAACTACAACCCTTGATCTCTTGAGGCATGTATACTATTAGGAGAAGACAGCTAATAGAATCAATAGGTTATATAGTATTTTAAAAGATCACAGAAGAAAATAACAGTGTAGGGAGGAGTGATTTTAGATAACATGATCTGGATAAGCCTTATTAAGATGGTAAAATTTGAACAAAAACTTGAAAGGGTCATGTGGAAATTTGGTATAGAGTGTTTCAGACAAAGGGAATAGTTGTTCAGTGGCCCAGAGGGACACAAGGAGGCGAGTATGGCTGGGTAGATGAGGAGAGGAGTTGTCAGAAAGAGGTCGTAGCACAGGAGACCAGCTGTAACAACTCTGACTTCAATTCTGTTTGTAACTTCTTTGGCTTCAGTTCTGAGTACAGTGGGAAGCCATGAGAAGGTTTCTGGCATGGCCATATTCAACATTTTTAAAGGATTTTTCTAGCAGCTGTGCTGAGAGTAAACTGTAGGTGGAGTAAGAAATAATTAAGTGGTAGTTGGCTCCCTAGTCCACAGACATCCTATTTTTTCATAATAACTTCTATCAGCATGATAGAATCTAATTAGCATTTATAATGCTGTTTTCATGGGGAAATATCAGAAAGGCAGACTTGTCTCTCTAGCTCTGTCCCTACTTCTTTGGCCCTTTTATATATACTTTTTTTTTTTAAATCAAATAGTTGTTATCTTAGAGATTATCCACAAAAGTCCTGTTTGGGTTTTTTTTCTGATTCATTCTGAAACTATAGTGAAAACAATGCTTATTCTCAATAACTAATTCTTAGCAAGTGGCAAAGAACACTATCAGAACCTCACCATATCACCTATACTTTCATTATTTCCAGTTGTGCTGAAAACATATGCTTTAAGAAATTTATTCTGTATCCATTACTGTGTGAAGTGTAAAATTCTGATATTCAAGACCTAAAGACCCTTCGTCCTATAAGAGGCAAAACTAAATATGAAACTACTGTAGAAATGTTATAAGATATAAAATGCTAAATTTTATTTCATAGATTACAAGTGCTATAGGAATTTCAAGAAGTTGAAGTATTCTAACCATCTGTGGTCATATTCTGAAAATGTTTTTGAGCACACATTTTTGTGTGCTTCAACATAGTGAGAAAATGGGACACTTTTTTTGTCAGTAACAATCGCTTGTTGTAGGAGTGATGGTCAGTTAAGAGGCCATACTCCAGTTAAGAATGTATACGTGTGGGATATAAGGGGCGATGTGGAGGGCCATCCTTTAAGTAAAGGAATAGGGCAAAGCAGGGAGAATATTTGATATTTAGATTCTGAGATCACATTCTAAGTTGTGAGTGGATAACCACTGAATAAAGATTGGTTGAGTAGGCAACCATGGAAAGAATAAGCAAATGGCTTAGTACTTCTTTAGTTACAATATTCATTATTAATAAAAATGAAAAAAGGTTGAAGGCCTATAACATGCTAGGCAGAAAAGAGGGAATATGAAAATATGATTCATTTGGTGGAGTACACATGAGTGTGTTCTACCTTCTGATTCTACTAGAAAACACAATCTGAATCCTCTAAAAACTGACCATACATTACTCTCGGGGGTAGTGTGAATTATTGAATTGAATAAATCACAGGTAAGGTTTAAAATTAGAACTCACATGGCCTTGACTCCAACAAGAAACACTACCTCTTGGTTATTTTTCCTTTGAACAGATATGTACCTTTCATATGTTATTGAATGAGTAATTGTATTATTAATAATTATTTGCCTGAACAAAGCCATTATTTATATAGTCTCTTCATAGGTCTCAGGAAAATAAATTGGTATTCATCTAGTCATAACAAAGATATTGGACAATAAATAGAATAAGAAAAATTTTAGGAAAGTATAATGTTTTTGGTATTCACATTATAATTAATAAGTGCTTATTATTAGCTAAATTCCATTATAAACTTATAAAATGACTGCTAATTTGTTTTGTTTAGCCTGCAAGTCCTGGCCAACCTCTTTCTCCACTTCTTAAACGATGCACCTCAGTCCTGGAGGCTATAGTAAGGACTGTGCCAGGTCTCCTGCAAGCTGTCTTCCTAATAGCAAAAGTGAAATATTTGTCAGGTAAGGTCTACCTTAAAAGCTTAAAGGAACTTTATATTCTGATGTTGATTAAAAACAACATAAACAAACTAAGAATTTCACATATATGGAGAGTTGTAACATAAAATGCACATTTTACATGTGCACAAATAACTCAGTTTTATCCAAAATAAAATCATGTAACTTGTGTTACTGTTTAATTCTTTTAAACTTACTATAATCTTTTGTGATTCAAGTGAATAGTTGGGAAAATACAGTTTTAACACTTTACAAAAGTCCATCACATAGTACTGGGGCCTCTCAATGATAATTTACAGTCTTTAATCTATAGTTGTTGACTCACCGGTATAACAAAATGTGTGATGTTTACCAGGTTTCAGGTCCTAATGGAATTTCTTAATTCCTGTTTAGTTTCTGTGACTGGTTACATACAGCCAAAAAAAAAAAAAAAGGAAAAAAAGGGGAACATCTGTAATATTCTCAACAATCAAGATTTTTTAAAAATAATAATTAATAGATAGATACATAGGTAACCAAACAACCAACCTCCATTACTCCATTATAGCCTTAGCTTTTTAGGACACAAACATATGTACGATATATACATAAAAATAGACTATCATGTGGTGCCTATATATGTACCTTTGCTGGTTGAATACTATGCTAAGTAAATTAAGTTTATAAAGTCCTAATGGGCAGAAACCAACTTAACGGTATTCTCATAAACAGTTATATCTTATACATAATGGAAAGAATTAAGAGATTGACTTCACAAATTTTTTGAATGACAGTATTAACTGTTAAAAAAAAAAGGCCTAGATAATCTCAAAAGCTTGTTTCACCTCTAAAGTACTCTAGTTGTGAGAAGTGACCTTCTTCTGGTTGACTTCTTTTGAGCCACATATTTATTTTTTTATTGAATTTATTGGGGTGGCATTGGTTAATAAAATTATAGGTTTCAGGTATACAATTCTACAGTACATCACCTGTATATTGTATTGTGTATTTTCCACCCCAAGTCAAGTCTCCTTCCATTACCATTTATCCCTGCTTTCCCTTCTCCTACCTCCCCTATCACATGATGTTTCTATTTTTTCTTCCCAATTACAATGGGTATCACATACTAGTTAATTAATCTGGAACTTTGAGTTCAGATTAATTTATTAAACATTTATTATTTATTTTGAAATTTGATATAAATAAGTCTATTATTGTAATACTTAAATGCCAAAGTCTCTAGGAATAAAAGTCTCATATATTAACCCATTTTAAAAAGGAGCAGCCTGAAATCATTTAAAATGGTGCTGATGTTGCTAAAATTGTCAGAATTCAGATTTGTGTGTCTGATGCACAGATAAGCGAAACACTGAGACTCTGGTGCTCGGAGATAAAGAAAGGTTTATTGGCCAGAGTGAGAGGACAGGAGAGTAAGCTCTCTCAAATCTGTCTTCCCCAAAAAGCAAAACTGGAGACCTTTTTTGCAGTGAGGGAGTAAGAGAGAGGGGGAGTTTCAGGGAACCGAAGGAGAAGTCTGTGTTTCTTCAGTCCCCCTCTCATGTGACACCTTGTGCAACCAGACTTTTGGGCAGCAGCAGGTGGTCACAACTTTCTTAAAGGCATTCATTCCTTCTGCAGAACAGACTCATAAATTCTCCTTGTGACCCTGGATTTATCTCCTGCTTGACAAAGAAACAATACATCAGCAGCTTACAATTATATTGTGAGAACAAGGGGTGCTGGGCAGGCAGAGCAGTTGGGGTCTGACCACACTGGCATGTGTCTAAATAGCAGTATTCTTGCTAATTTGCCAACTGTACCAACTACCTGGATCTGGACCAAACTTTACAAGTTAAGGCCATAACCCTCCATCAGAATGCCCTGCTTTAGACTAAAAGAGCCCTCTGCAATTCAGGGCCCTCTGCACTTCTGACTAGCTGGGTCCAAATTTCAGGCTCCCTATTACCCTTCAGGTTTGAGAATTTACCAGAATGACTCATAGAACTCAGGGAAGCACCATACTTTGAATTACAATTTTATTATAACAAAGGGCATTAATTTGAACCAGCAAAAGGAAGAGATGCACAGGGTGAGGTCTGGGTGGGTCCCAAATGTGATGCTCCCATTGTCCTCTTCCTGTGGAGTTGGGACACATTAACTTTCTGCCACAGTGATGTCTGACAGTATCTGCAGTACATTAGCAGCCATGGAAGCTTGCTAAAGGTTCAGTCTCCATAGGGTTTCATTACATAGGTATGGATCAAATCATTGGCTGGCCTCGTGACTGAATTCAATCTCAGTTCCCTTTCTCCCGGTCAGGTTGATATCACAAGGTTCAAAGCCCCAACCCTCTTATCATGTGGTGGGTCTTCCTGAGGTGGGCAACCCCCATCCTGAGTCATACTGTTGTCATAAACTATCAGAGCCCACCACAGATAACAAAGACATTCCTGTTATTTGTGAAACTCCAAGATTTAGAGTCTCCCTCTTAGGAACCTTGGGAAAAGGCCAGCTCTATTCTTTATTGTAGGGGACCCTGACAAAAACAGATCATCAGACAGTAAAAGCTTTCATTGTTCCTTCAAGAGAATTTGGACTACTCTTAGATAAGAATGTGATGTTGATGTGATCTTTGTTTATATGGTCTTTTTTTCCCCCCAACAGTGATGACCCATTTCTCTATTTTTAAATACTTCTGAAATAAGTGGCACATTCTTCCCCTTGCTCAAGATTCTTATCTCAGTTATTCATGCATTCCTCATTCAGTCACTTTTTTTGCAAATCCTGATTCTTTTCTATAGACTTTCTCCCCTTGGTAATAACCTCTTATTTCAAGTTACCTCCTTAACCCTCCTCCTTCCTAGAAGAACAGGGGAATGGTAATTCCCATAAAAATTCATTTGCTTAAACTTCACATTTCCTTTTTCATCTGTTCTGAGTGTTGGATTGCATCACAATTATGCTTGGTGGTTAATGGACAAATTTTGACACTATATTTAATAAGTTTTGTGCTACCTCAGCCAAATTTTTGTCTATTAACTCTCTGTCTCTAAGAAAAAATGTTTTCTGTTTAAATGGATTCGTATTATATGGAGGAATTCTGGAGCCCTGGCTATAGCCTTGTCTGTTGAGGTGTCAGGTAATGTTAAGGAGAGTAATTGAACAGAGAATAGTTGAGGACCTCTTCTTTCCCCATTCTCCTAGCAAAGCTGAATGGGGAGTTGGCCTAGCTACACTTACCTAGGCCAACTTATGAGATGGCTAATGCAGATGAGCACATGTTATCTCATGTGAGACCATTACACCCAGAGACTACTGTTCAGAGGAAGAGCCTCTTTGTACCCCATCTGCCAACCCAGGTTAGGCTCCACTCTTCCAATCACTTTAATCTTGATCATTTGCTTAAGACTCCCAGATGTACAGTAGATGTGTTTCCATACCTTTAATATTTCAGTTGGTATTTAAAGGCATTTTAAATCTAAAACTCATGTTTCTAAATCTCTAGAGCAGCGGTTCTCAACCTGTGGGTCACGACCCCTTTGGTGATCGAACGACCCTTTCACAGGGGTCGCCTAAATACATCCTGCATATCAGATATTTACATTACGATTCATAACAGTAGCAAAATTACAGTTATGAAGTAGCAACGAAAATAATGTTGGGGGTCACCACAACATGAGGAACTGTATTAAAGGGTCACGGCATTAGGAAGGTTGAGAACCACTGCTCTAGAGTATATCATTATGCCTTTTTGTAATTTTATGGACGGTAATAAAATTTCTAGATTTTTAAAACTTTTAGTCTAGAATGATAACTAAACTAAATCCTCTTTGTTATTATAGCATTCTACCTATTTAAATTTCTATGTTTTACAGAACTTATTTTAATAATATTGTAAAAAAAAAATTAACAAGGAAAATGAATAAAGGTACATGCATAGGTCTCTCAGTAACAGTGGTGCTTGACTCTGATTTTTTTCACACTTCCTCTGGTTTGCTCCTTATGACCAAGGTGTGGTCTTACAGATGTACAGTACTCTGATTTACATGTAAATTCTTTCATGTGGACTACAAAGAAGAGATTAAATCATGGCCCCTTGAACAGAGGACTTTAAACACTGGAACTATCCACAGACTAACTACTTTTCTCCCTCTTCTAAGATCTCCAGTTCTTAATCATTTGAATTAAATGGTGCTTTATTTTATTTTTTTTAAATATATTTTATTGATTTTTTACAGAGAGAAAGGGAGAGAGATAGAGAGTTAGAAACATCGATGCTTACCTCCTGATGGCTCAAGTTTATTTGTCTCAGGATAAATTTAAATTATGTTCTCAGTCTCTTGAACTTTGTCTGAGCTATAACTTTAAGGTAAGTATTCCAGACTCAAGTGGATACATATCATATCCCTCATCAACCTCCTGGAATCTTTAGCAAATGTTTGTATATCAACTTTTTTAAAAATTTTAGCCTTTAATATTTTGCTAAGAAATGCATTTTTAAATTAAGAAGATTTTGGATTCATAAGCAGTAGGAGAAGAAATGGAGCAACTGTGCATAGTTAAAAAATTATAGGGACAGGGCAACAAAGACCTGGGGTCAGTGTCTGATGTTTCCACTTATCTAAATACCCTACAGTTACAGTGAGTGTTAAATGCAATAATTAAAGTATTAAAAATAATTGTAAACTATAAATATTTTTATGTATTAGGATTTATTTTATTGCCTGTTTCCTTCTTGGACCTTGTTTTTTTGTTTTTTTAAAAAATATATTTTATTGATTTTTTTAGAGAGGAAGGGAGAGGGATAGAGAGTTAGAAACATCAATGAGAGAGAAACATCGATCAGCTGCCTCCTGCACACCCCCCACTGGGGATGTGCCTGCAACCAAGGTACATGCCCTTGACTGGAATCAAACCTGGGACCCTTCAGTCCACAGGCCGACACTCCATCCACTGAGCCAAACTGGTTAGGGCTTGGACCTTGTTTAAAAGAAAAAATCCTCACCTGAGGATATGTTTTTACTGATTTTTAGAGAGAGAGAGTGAGAGAGCAACATCTATTGGTTGCCTTCCTTATGCTCATTAACGAGAGGTCGAACCGCAACCTAGGTTGTGCCCTGATGGGGAATTGAACCCACAGTCTTTTGGTGTACAGGGCCTTGGACCTGAATTTTTAATAACTTTTCTCTAGATTTATCATCAACGATGCTTAGTCATTTTGAAACTTAGTATGTGGTTTGAGGATATAAACACACTAGATTTCTACCCAAGATATTCTATGATACATATCATATCCCTCAGCATTAGGGGAAATCCAGTCAAGTGCTTCCGGAGCTACCTGGAGTCATGGAGGACCTCCTCAGATTTTCACTTGGGTCCACAGCCTCTTAAGCCCTGTATGTGAGAACCCATTGATGGGCTGGAGAGTTAAAGTTCCAAGCAAGGTTTGCAGGCGATAGCACCTGCTTCCTAGGATAGTAGCTCTCAAGACTGGTGGGGCTTTGGAACTCTACCCCAGTCACTGAGAATCTCTAAGACAATGGTTCTCAACCTTCTGGCCCTTTAAATACAGTTCCTCATGTTGTGACCCAACCATAAAATTGTTTTCGTTGCTACTTCATAACTGTAATGTTGCTACTCTTATGAATCGTCATGTAAATATCTGATATGCAGGATGGTCTTAGGCGACCCCTGTGAAAGGGTCGTTCGACCGCCAAAGGGGTCGCGACCCACAGGTTGAGAACCGCTGCTCTAAGAGAAGAGATAGATAAGCAGGAGTGTTCACACAGAGTTCATAGGTAACTAAGACTTAGAAACACAGCCTTACAGAGCAGTGTAGCTGTCCCAGGCATTAAATGGCTCTACTTCACCTCATTCTGGATTATCTTCTTTGACTCCTTCCTCACTCATTTTTGTCATTTTGTTTTTCTGTATATACTGTTGCTAGCTACAATAAAGACAGAAGCTTTGTTTCATGTTTCTGAGTAGTACCAAATGGTTAAGACCAATGTTTGATTAACGTATACTAAAATGTTTAATCTTAAAAATAAAGAAAAGGGGGGAAAACTTTATTTCTAGAAATATGACTTTATATTAGTACCAGAAGTCCCAGATAAAGAAACTCCTTTCCTGAAAACTCAAATTATTTTAGAATACATTTTCTAGCCTTAGTACTTTGTTGCATTTTCTCCTCTATCATAGTAGAAGCACTTAATTACCTGGTTTTTCATCCAGAGGGATGCTAGGCAGTGGCAGGCTTCCTGAATTTGATTTAATACAATATTGGATCAGAAAGTTAATAAATGACAGAAATAGACCTTATGTATATAATCACAGGCTGTCCTCAAAGATCCTATCATTTTAATGTTTGATCGACTGTAAATTATGTGTTGATGTTGTAAGCACTCCAAGGAAGTATTTCTGAATATTATTTTTTCAGGTGAGAGAATATCCTTTATATCATTTGATAAAAGCTCAGTCACAAAAGAAAATGGGAGAAATAGGAGAGGCCATTAAAACTCTACATATGGCAATGAGTTTACCAGGAGTGAGGACAATTGAAGCCTCCTCAAAATCAAAATACAAAAACACTGAAGTTGATGCAAGCCATCGTTTATCAATATTTCTTGAGTTGGTAGAGGTTTACTGCTTAAATGGAGAACAGGTAGGTCAAGTTTTAATTCATTGACTCATATCTGAACTTTTTATTTTAAAAAAATTGATAGATATATATATGCATATTATATATATATATATACTAGAGGCCCGGTGCACAAAAATTTGTGCACTAGGGTGGGAGGGGGGGTTCCTCAGCCCAGCCTGTACCCTCTCGAAATCTGGGACCCCTCGGGAGATAACGACCTACTGGCTTAAGGCCTGCTCCCAGGTGGCAGAGGGCAGGCCCAATCCCTAGGTGCAGACCCTGGTCGGGCTCAGAGCAAGGGCCGATTGGGGAGTTGGGGCGCCGCCCCATGATGCACAGAGCAGGGCGGATCGGGAGGTTGCGATGCCACCCTCAGTCACGCTCAGGGTAGGGCCGATTGGGGGGTTGGGGCACCGCCCCCTGTCACACTCAAGGCAGGGTCGATGGGGAGGTTGCAGCGCCACCCCCTGTCACGCACAGAGCAGGGCCAATCGGGGTTGGGGAGCTCCCCCCTGTCACGCACAGAATAGGGCCGATAGGGGAGTTGGGGCACCGCCCCCTGTCACACACAGAGCAGGGCAGATCAGGGGGTTGGGGCACCGCCCTCTATCACCCACAGAGCAGGGCCAATCGGGGTTGGGGCGCCGCCACTCTCACACTCAGGGCAGGGCCGATGGGGAGGTTATAGCTCTACCCCGTCACACACAGAGCAGGGCCCGTGGGGGTGGGGGGGTTGGGGCGCCACACCCTGTCACAGAACCGCAGGGCGATCAGGGGGTTAAGGAGCTCCCCCCTATCAGGCAAGAGCAGGGCTGATCAGGGGGTTGGGGCACCTTCCCCTGTCACGAAAAGAGCAGGG